ATTTCGTGTGTGTGTGTGTGTTTGTTCGCCTGATCGGGAAGTTGCAGTGACAGAAACGGTGACATTCCAGATAAAGTTTGAAAGGAGTAAAGCCTGTGTTAATGCTATTGAGTAGGCTAATATGGCCAAAGAAGATATTTTGTTTTATAAATAAATGTTCATTTAAAAGCAGCCCACGATCAGCGTGTTATGTTACCGTTATCCCTTACGTCTCCGATGAGGTTTTGTTCCATCCTCCACGCTGTGACAACTCACAGTGACAGAAGACGATTTTTGGCCAAGCAATGCGGAGAGCAACTGGCTCATAACACAAGCACTGACTAGAGCGGCCGCGATCCGCTCCGGTGGCCGTGGACCGCAGACGTTTGCAGTGAGGCGCAGATCAGCTCTAACGTCACTGAATCTGCTGTTAAAAATGAACCATCCATTCATCATATCATCACGCAAAACATACACGACAAATAGCGAATTTTTAATTGTTTCTCGAAACGTCATAGCATTTCCAAGGCGGCAATGACATGACTGTGGCGCCAAATCATTTATGTCCCCACGCATCATGTACATTGTCACGCGTTGACGTCATCAAATTGCGATCGGTTCGTGAGATCGGCCAAGTTAGTGAGTACCGATCGAGTCATAAAATGTGATTATCGTCCGATACCGATCTCCGGCCGATCGATCGGAGCATTCCTAATAATAAATATACACAGTACACACACATATAGTATGTAAACATAAACTTTTATTTTGAATGTGATTAATCGTGATTAATCGTTTCACAGCCCTATTTTCAAATAATGATACTGTTATTGTATCCATGTAAACAAGGAAAAAGAGAATTTTTGAAAATATTGACATCACGAACATGTGTATTATATGTGTATAGTGTATAGGTATGTGCACATACATATAGTCTTTCTATACAAAGAGACATCACCTGCTACTGGCCTTGCATGCATAATAAAGTGTTTTTAGTAGTTTTCACAGATCTGTGTGAACAGGGATCATTTTGACAACATTGTCATCAGTATGTGAATTTTTTAAAAACACGCAAATTACAACCTTTTCTGTTTTTATTAAGGACAAACTTTTCGTTGTTGTGTAAATGTATTCTTACACTCGCTTATCGTCTGGACACTTGTGCATATAATGTTGTTTACCTGTCAGACTTACCTGTTATCCTGCATCTTAGTCAACAAGTCTTCCAGTCATTCAGTCATCCTCATCTACGTGTTCCTATTGCCTTGAGATGAACGAGGTGATCTGGGAGTACCTCCGCTGTCTTGACATCATATGCACTGATGATATCTTGATTTACATTACGTCACTCTCGTAATGAAAAAGCTGCGAAAACACCACCTCTACCTAAAGGCTGAAAAATGTGAGTTCCACCTGTCATCCACTCAATTCCTTGTGTATATAATATCTGAAAGGTGACAAGATGGACCAGGGAAAGGTTCAAGCAGTTCTGGCCACAACCCACCACAAGAGCTCAAACAATTATTGAGATTTGCAAACTTCTACAAACTTTTGCAGAATTTTCCTTCATGGTTGAGGTCGATGCATCCACCAATGGAGTTGGAGCAGTACTATCTCAGCGACAAGGGTATCCCTATGTGGGGTATCCGGGTATCCTATGTGCCTTCTTCTCTAGGAAAATGGCCCTGGCAAAGCAAAACTATTACAGTGGCAACCAGGAGCTACTTCAAGCCGGCATTAAAGGACCACTGGCTCAACAGGGGTTGATTTATGCTCCATCAGTACTTCATACACACCTCATAGACTCTTCTCTGGGCTTGGGTGACCATGGCCAACAGCAAACCCTCTTGCTTTTTCAAAATCATTACTGGTGGCCCAGTATGTCCCAGAATGTCCAGCACTTCATAAAGGAAGGCACAGCACTAACTGTGCCTTGTCAAAGACTCAACATCTTCTCCCATTTGGCAAGTAACTTCCACTCTCAGTGCCACACCATCTCTGGTCACACCTAGGAGTGGATTTCATCACTGAACTGAAGACCCTGGAAGCCCTAGACCATCACGTCTTCCGCAACGATGGTGTCCTGGGAAATGTTGTCTCAGACCGCAGTCCCTAGTTCATCTCTAGAGTCTGGAGGTCTTTCTTCTCACAACCTCTACTTACAATCCAGGAAAGAAGGTTTGCCTCTGTATCAGGGTTATTCATCTTCAACTGTACTGCAAGAGTCCCCACTACATCAGTCAAGAGACAAATCAACCCAGTCATCTACCATTTACACCTCCTAGCACATTACTGTATTGCACCCACATTTGATTTGTCACTTCTCAAGCCTTACCAACCTTCTTTGTCCCCTTTCACAGAGTCTGGTGGGCCTAACAATCCTCCACCACTGTTCCTGGGTCAGTCTATGCTGTCCATGAGATCCTGGACTCCCGACATCAGAGGAATCATCTTGAGTACCTGGTTGACTGAGAAGGCTAAGGTCCTGGCTCCTGGAGAGATCCTGGGTACCTCAAGATGACATCCTGGATCCGACCTTACTAGACAACTTCCAAACAGCTATCTTGCCCTACACCATGTGGATGTGGTCAGCCTTGGCGTCGGAGGCTCTGGAACTCGGCAGTCTTTGAGGGGTGGGGGGGTTGTGGGGTCAGTCTTTTAGTCATCCAGTCTTATAGTTCTCCAGTCATCCTCGACTCTGTGTTCCCATTGCCTCATCAAGTTCACTTGAGTATCACAGCTGTATTCTCCGTGTTGCCATTTCCATCTGCAAAAACTGTTATATTTTCATTTGCGCTGCCTTTGGTCATCTCACCATTGTTCAGTACTCACCATTCTGTTTTCACTTCAGCTGTTGTGTTTCAATAAAGCCCGCTGTTGAGTCTGCATCAGTCTCATGCTGTTTGTGACAACAATACTTTTGCGTAAATTAATCTAGATTAATGTTAGTTTCATTATACATTCACAAATTTTTAACAAGTTGTATAAATTAACATTACTTAATGTATTATGAACAAACAGATCATGTTATCAAATCATGTTATCACATGTACTGTATGACTATATCGCATTAGCAAACTAAAACAAACAAAATTGAACCTTATTATAACTGTTTAATTCCATCCATTTAAGACATTAAGGGCCAAATTTACTAAACAAGGCAAATTGGTTGTGTTTCGTGCATTGCACTCTTGGTTTCATAATTCAGTAAGCTTTGTGTTACTTGCAGCATGGGACATTTTCAACATCAATCCCAGAATGCATTTCTGTTCACCTCCATTTGTCTGACGTCTCTAAATAATTCTGTTATCTGCTTTCTGGTTGCATGTAGTGCTTTCAGTGTTAGTTATGTGCTCAGTGTAGCGAAAGCGACTATATGGGAATCAAGTATAATGTGACAGAAAATTTGTTGGGTTTTCAGTATGTGAATGTTTTCACCCAATGCGAATAGGAATGGGCTCCCTTTGAAAATCCATGCCACTCACATTCTGTATGAATTAACCTTAAGAAATGGTCTTCAATTTCCAACCCGGTCTGTGGATTATCCTGTGGATGGACTGACCTCCACAGACTGAAGGACACAGCATGCCTCATCACATATGACAACTGTGCTGAGACCTTGAAGACTCCAGCCGATTAAACTGATTGAAATTTCATTTGTCTCTTTTCTACCTCTCACTTTTCTCTCTCCTTTCTTATCCCCTCTGGTGGACTGTGTCCTGCTTTTGTGCTTTTCTGGAACAATAACATGTAATGCACTATACTCTGTACAAATATTTCAAAACAATATAGATATATTGAAAAGCACTATAGAATTAAAACTGACATGACTTGACTTAGATCTTCTAGGTGGTTACCAACTGGCCCAAATTAACAAATTAACTAAATAAATACACACAATAAATAAAATATCTTATTGTTTTATCAAAAAGCATATTTCTGATTACTTTGAAAAGTGATTGTATGTCGCCTTAACAAGCCACATGTACGGTGTACATATGAGGACATCCTCAGACCTTCAGACCCCAGGAAAAATGTCAGGTGTCAGGTCTCATATAGGCGAAACAACCTCCGATATAAAGACATCGGAAGAAATGGCATCAGATGCAACCTCAGAAATGTGCCGTTCTTATAAAGTTTCATTTAAAAGGATGCTTTTAAACGGCTTACAAGAAAAAGTTCTTATCCAGGGCGGTGACCCCAAATGGACATTAACGAGGATACATATTTGATATTCTTGATGGTGCTCTGCTGTACTCCATTACAAACTGCTCTGCTGTACTCCATTACAAACTCAGTATGTGGTTAGGCAACACATTCTCACTCCCAACTCGTCACATATTGACACTTGTTCAGGACCCTTTGGCGTCACTTTTTGGCACACAGGGTACCCATTTAGCGTAATTTTTTGATGTGCAGGATCCTCCATTGCTTTAAAATAATAAATACCTCTGACTGTACTTTTATTTGCCTGCTGCTTGTTTTATATTTTACAGAAGTGGGTAGGTTTAGAGTAGGATGGGGTTAGGTGCGCCAATGAAAGTATAACTTTATATAAAATTATTTCTATTTTTTACAAATGCATGCAAACCACTGAATTAAGACAAACAACTGAAAACAATGGCCTGCACACCGAAAAATGATGCTAAAAGGATACCGCTGTTCGCCAATGGGTCCTGACCAAGCGTCAATATGTGACAAGTTGGTAGTTGAACGTGTTCGATGACAAAGTAAAAAAAAAAAAAAAAAAGTTTTAGATTGGTCTGCCTTAGTAGTCTAATAGCACTCATCAATGTCAAAATGTCTGAGATAGCCGTTCAGATCAAAGATGGGCTTTTTTTAAGAGTTGTACTTTTCACATAAGCTGAATATGATCAGCATGATGCTTCAGTTTTAAGAGTGCAAACTAAGATGTAATGGTTAAACATTCAACTTTTGACTAATATTTGAATATTTAACTGTTTACAAAAGAAATGTTATGTAGTACTTTTGATTGACAGTTTCCCCAAATTTGCTCTTACCATCCACGCAGGCCGGCCTGGCTCTCGTTGTCCCAGCAATCTGTCCTTTCTTACATGCGCAGCGGGCCGTCTGTCTGGCAATCGTCCTGCGTGGCTGACTGCTGTCTCTGTCTAGAGTGACAATCTCACAGGTGCCTGCTGCCAGTTGACCTGCAGGACATAACCAAAGACAGAAGAAGAGTTCAGAGGGGATCACTGGGAATAGTGGCCACATCAGTGATTTTTTTTTTAGCTTATTGAAGTTGTTTTTCACAGTTCAGGACACAATGGGGTTATGCTTTGTTTGGGTATGATGATTTTCTTAAAATTCCTAAATAAAAAATACAGACAAATGAGACAATAGACATGCAATAAGAGTAGTATAATGTGGGCACTGGGCAGCAGAGCTAAAAAAAAAGGGGGGCACATTTAATGTTTGAAATGTTTGAGTTCATATGACTGACTGAGAAGTTGTTGAGATTCCTTCATTAACTCTAGAGGAGACATGGAATTATCAAGGTTGTTCTTCTCAGTAGAAAGGAGAAAATCTCATGTTTAAGGAGAGGAGGGGAGACTTACATGAAAACAACAATCAACTATCAGTCAACAATCTTATTGCCTCAACATTTATATTAACCCTCATTTTTTTAACGACATTTTGTGTTGTCAGAATTTAATTAGTGTAAAGCAACTACAGAAATTAATTATATTTAGCTTCATCACATAAATAAATGAACACACACAAACTGAAAATATATTTTAGTCAATATTGTCATTACATTAAAAAAAAACCTACAAGAGTTTAGCTTCATTAATTTAAACAAACAAACCAACAAACACTGAAAATGTAGTTTAGTCAAAGCTGCCATCATATGAAAAAGACATCTACAACAGCAGAATTATACAACATACTATGACAGTTATGATGCAAAACACAATCACATATCTACTGTTATCAAAATGTTTAACCACTGCATGTGTGGAACTTTTTTTGCTTGCTTAATATCTTCATTTTAACAAATCAATATTGATTCTTAAACCCCAAGATTGATCTTTTAGTCTATGCTAGAGGACATGTTCGGTTCACTTAGTTTTGCTGTGGCCACAACATTAATTTGTTAACATCAGATTAATCAAATTAACACCAAAGTTATTAACATCTATTAACATTTTTTTTTTTTCTAATGTAGAGAGAAAAATATCCTTTTCTCATGGCCGTGAGTTTAATGCATAAACACACCTGCATTTGCATTGCAACCTGGGAAACATCTTTTATGCATTTGTATCAGAGGGGAAAAAAGTAAAATGATGTGTTGGTGTGCAAGTAAATACAATTCATGCATAATATTGTATGATAATATTGTATGATTGTATAATTCATACCTCAAGGCTCAGTACTAGGACCGTTACTTTTCACGCTTTTCATGTTACCCTTGGGAGATATTATTAGGAAAGGAAACATGGTGTTAGCTTTCACTGTTTATTCACTGTTTTTCACTGTATTTTTCTTCGCAGCCTGACAAAACATACCAATTTTAAAAACTACACTCTAAAAAATGCTGGGTTGAATATGGACAAACCCAGCTATTGGGTTGTTTTGACCCAGTGGTTGGATTACTACCCAGAAGGTTGGGTTAAACATTTAACCCAACCGCTGGGTCAAAACAACCCAGTTGCTGGGTTTGTCCATATTTCACCCAGCACTGGTTTGTATTTAACCCAGCATTTTTTAGAGTGTAACGGAATGCATAGTTGATATATACAAACTGGATGACTAGTAATGTATTACTGTTAAATAAAAAAATAAAAAACAGAGGTGTTAATTATAGAATCAAAAACCTCTGCATGTAATAACCTAGAACACTGTCTAATACTTGATTGCTGCTCTGTCAATTCTTCGTCATCAGTTAGGAACCTAGGTTTGCTATTTGATAGTTTCTAGCTTTTGTAAAACTGCATTTTTCCATCTCAGAAATTTATCTAAATTACGACCTATGCTTTCAATGACAAATGCAGAAACATTAATTCATGCATTCATGACTTCAAGGTTAGATTATTGTAATGCTCTATTGGGTGGTTGCTCTGCGCATTTAATAAACAAACTCCAGCTGGTTCAAAATGTAGCAGCTAGAGTTCTTACTAGAACCAAGAAGTATGAAGTATGATATTAGCCCGGTTCTGTCAACACTGCACTTGCTCCTTATTAAACATCGTATACATTTTAAAATATTGCTAATTACCTATAAAGCTCTGAATGGTTTAGAACCTCAGTATTTGAGCGAGCTCTTATTGCATTATAGTCCTTCACGTTCGCTATGATCTCAAAACACTGGCCATTTGATAATACCTAGAATATCAAAATCAACTGTGGGTGGCAGATTATTTTCCTGTTTAGCACCCAAACTCTGGAACTATCTATTTAACACTGTTCGGGAGGCAGACACACTCTGTCAGTGTAAATCTAGATTAAAATCCCATCTCTTTAACCTGGGTTACACATAACACACTAACATATTTCTATTATTCAACATTTCTATGATTCAAATCCATTAAAGAATTGTTAGGCTGCATTAATTAGGTCAACCGGAACCGGGAACACTTCCCATAACACATGATGTACTTGTTACATCGTTAGAAGAATGGCATCTATGCTAATATTAGTATGTTTCTTTCTTATTCCGAGGTCACCGTAGTCACCAGATCCAGACTGTATCCAGATCAGATGGTCACTACAGCCACCCAGACTAAGCCGTATCCAGACCAGATGGTGGATCAGCACCTAGAGATGACCTCAACAGCCCTGAATGTCAGCGGAGACCATGTCAAATCGATGAGCTTGACTTGAATATAAAATAATATATATATTTTTAGAATTTATTACCTAATTAGCTTTTAAACTGACAAAGGAACATAAGTTATTTTAAGGTAATGTACACAATGCTCATACATTAAAGTGCATTTCTCCCTAAAGAACTGTGAAATGGCAAACAAAATGCCATTCACAAATTAGAAGCACAAAATGAGGATTTGTAAAGAAAAATGTCGGAGGATTTCGATATAAGCCAAGAGGAGACTGGTTTTCCTTTGCTAAAGTAAGGAAACGTTGTTTCCTTTGCTCCTGCATTTCTCAGAGGCACGCACGACGCATACGTCTTACGTCATCCGCCTGAATGTCTTCAGTAAAAAAAGTGTTTATTACATTTGAAATATGGATATTTATCTTACAAAAATGCATGGATTCGCTACAGGAGGCCTTTATTCACCCCCCGGAGCCGTGTGAGGGACGTTTTATTACGTATGCACGCACTTTATTTCACGCCTTCTGAACGGTTGACAACCAACACCCTCTTAACCCCCATTGAAAGGCTTGGAGGGGCAAGGACAACTTTTAATATAACTCCATAATATTGGATTAGTCTGAAAGAAGAAAGTGACATACACCTAGGATGCTTTGAGGGTGAGTAAAACACAGGCTAATTTTCATTTTTGGGTGAACTAACCCTGTAACTGGGTCGAGCTGGCAGTTGCCGCATCAAGAAGTGATGGTTCACTTCATGGAGTAACAGTTTCCTCGTGGAGGGAGCTCTGGACTGGAGTATGGTCTCAACCACCTCAGTTGAGAGACTGGAACCAATGAGCTGTGCCCCCTCAGGGGCCACACCCAAAGTTCCACCACTCCGGGTGGGGAGAAGGCCCCCCTGAGAGAGGAGATCCCTCCTGACGGGTATCTCCCACGGAGAGCCGTCGAGAAGGGAAATCAGGTCCGAGAAATTTCCATTCCCCGGGCCTCGGCCCCTGCCTCGACAGGATGTCTGCTCCCATATTGAGATGCCCAGGTATGTCAAGTCAAGTCACCTTTATTTATATAGCACTTTAAACAATACAGATTGTGTCAAAGCAACTTTTCAGCATTAAATAGGAAAATAGTGTGTCAATAATGCAAAATGACAATAGTAAACACTCATGTGAACTGCTCTCAGTGAGAGGAGTTTCCCCTGGACCACACCAGGATCTGGTGCGCCAGCCTGTACAGCGGGCGCGAACGCAGACCTCCCTGGTAGTTGATGTAAGAGACCAACGCTGTGTTGTTGGTGCGCACCAACACATGGCGATCTCTTAGGTCTGGGAGAATGTGTTTCAATGCTAGAAACACGGCCAGCATCTCCAGGCAGTTGATATGCCACGTGAGATGGTGACCACTCCACAGACCGCGGGCCGAGCAGCCACTCATGACCGCTCCCCAACCGGTGAGGGACGCGTCCGTCGTTAGCGTACGCAGCGACAGGGAGCTCCTAGCACCGGGCCCTGAGACAAGAACCAAGGCCTCCTCCACATGTCTAAGGCACGAAGGCATCGCCGCGTGACCTTGAGCATGCGGAGCGGGTTTCCCCTCGGGGAGAACCCCTTTGTCTTGAGCCACCACTGTAGGGGTCTCATGTACAGCAGGCCAAAGGGTATCACGTTGGACGCAGCTGCCATCAGACCCAGCAGTTTTTGAAACTGCTTGACAGTGAGTGACTAGCCTTCTCTCACTCTCGTGACTACTGTGAGGTTCGAACAAAACCAAGCAGGAGACAATTGTACCTGCATCGAGGTCGAATCCCACACTATGCCCAGATAAGTGGTTCTCAGTAACGGAGAAAGCACACTTTACTTGGCGTTTAGTCTTAACCCCAGCACTTTCATATGGGCGAGAACAACACCTCGATGTTGAACCACCGTCTGCTCCAATAGAGCTAATATCAACCAACGGTTGATATACTTCAGTATGCGTATGCCCTGGAGTCGCAGCGGAACCAGAGCAGCATCCACACACCTGGTGAAAGCGTGGAGTGAGAGTGCAAGGCCGAACGGAAGAACCCGATATTGGTAAGCTTTACCCCCAAAAGCAAACCTCAGGAACTTCCTGTGTTGTGGAAGGATGAGTTAGGCGTCTTTTAGATCTATTGTGACAAATCAGTCCTCGGACCTGATCTGAGACACGACTTGCTTGAGTGTGAGCATTCTGAACTTCAGTCGCATGACTGAGCGGTTCAGAAACAGCGATTGTGAAGTGATTGTGAGCAGGATGGCAAAAAGGGGTGGCCAAGCTTAGGTGAATAGTGGCCACGTCCACCCTTGGCCACTCTCTAGCTTTAATTTTATAATTAGATGTAAAAGTAAATGTAAAA